TCTGATATAATGTAGACAATGCGCCAGTCTTTTACTTTTGTTAACCCCCCCCCCCACCCCCCCCAATCTGTACAGCCCATGTAGTTTGGATTTACCGCCGTTCAGCATTAGCCAATAGCGTTAGACATCTGCTAACGTACAAATATCAGTCTCAGAGGGTGCCCGTGCATTTGAGGGACGTATGTGATGCAGAGTTGGCGACATTTTCTATGGACGAGTAAGTCTTTACAACATGCGTGAATAAGCAGCACAACATGAATATTTATTCATGGTTTCGTTCTTTTTTAAACACAGAAACAGTTTTGTTACCTGTTTGTAGCTACAGTTTCGCCGACGGCTGCCGGCTTCTTCAGGCTGATGCTGACGCTGATGGTCGTCAGCATCAGCCTGAAGAAGTCGGCAGCCGTCGGCGAAACTGTAGCTACAAACAGGTAAACAAAACTGTTTCTGTGTTTAAAAAAGAACGAAAGCATGGATTTAGAAAGACACAGCAAGAACACACCTAAGTTGTTCATGAATATTTATTGTAAAACAATGCGTTTTAGTTCACAAACGAGAGGCGTTTAAGCAAGGAGACGGGTTTAAGGCATTCTTCCACCTCTAGATGATGCTCTCTGAAAAACAAACTCCAGACTTCTACATCAAGGCAGGGCTGCCATCTGTCACGCACTGAGCATGAGACACGCATTTGACCGTCTTCATCGTCTGTCGCGCCACACTTCCAACATCTCACGCTGAAGAACCCTCCCCCAATTAAGCTCACGGGCAACGGTCCACAAGCAACCCCCCCCCCCCCCCCCCCCCCCCCCCCCACACACACACGCTCTCAAAGTGAGCTCATGTAGGCAAAACGGTGTGCGCAATCCCCCCACCCCCACCCCCATCCCTGCTGTCACACAGTTCAGAAGTTGGCAGCCATGTTAAGGACAGAAAAAGCCCATTTGATTGGTCAAACGTGATGCTGCTATCCTATGGCATGACCTTAAAGAGCAAGTCACCCCCAAATCAACTTTTTTTTCTGATAAACTATATAAATGCGTGTCTAATCGTGCTGCAGACACGTGTCGTCAATAGTTTTGCACTTTAGTGGATTTTAGTGAAAATTTTTATTTTCTGCCTAAAACTAACAGTGTTGTGCCGTTGTCAGGTAAAAACTGCACTGCATTTGAATTTAAATCTGCCATCGCTATTGGCTAAGAGGTGCCCTAGGACGTTAGCTGGTACCATATAACGTCACAATTTCGTTGTGAGCCTGTGTGTGTGTGTGTATTTGTTAGCGGCTCCGCCCTCTCTGTCTGCTAGGCAACAGCATTTGTTGCATTTTTCAAACAGGAAGTGGGAGTTGAGTAAGACTCTGGTAGGGAGGTGACTTGCTCTTTAAGGCATAAAATATATGATAATTTACTGACAACATTATAATTATATTTTTTGTATCTCAGTTTTTTTCTAGGTTACTGTAAAATAAAATGAGCAAATAAAAAATTTTGGCAAGAAAAAACATTTGAACTGCTTTTAATCTGTTTTGTAATGTGGAGAACGTGCCCTGTAGACAATACTATAATCTCTTAGCTTTGGCCAGTTATCAACACAACAACATTTTTAACAATCTAATATTATAATTTCACCCATAATTGACAAAAAGGAATAAAATTTAGGAGATATTTTCCAACAATTTATTTCATTCGCACAGTCCTTTGTGATACTGACATTATTCACATTCACTTTGGGTTAGGGTAGAGATTAATCATCTATTGACCCCTTGTACGTGACGTCATGCCACTCATGTGACCGGCCCTTTCGCCATGATGGACGGCAAAAAGACCGTTTACACCCGTAGAAACTCCAGTGAAGGTAGTCAAAACAAGCCAGTTTGTAGCCTTTTACGGCTTTTATTGAGTTGATTTGACAGTAAAATGGTTTTAGCTTGCTGCGTGGTCGGCTGCACTAACAGACACGGACGTAAACTCAACTCCTTTTGTTTCTTTAATAACTTTGATGGAGACTGAGGACGGAGATGAACTGCAGCGATCAATCAAGCGGGCTAGCAGGCCTCAGATTTGCAGTGAACATGTTTTTAACGGGTAACATTCATTTATTTCACGAGGAAGACAGGGACAGGTATAAATGTGATGTGTTTATACAAGTTATTGATAATCCTGATGGATGGCATTTCACCACGGAGGCTGCGCTCCGTCCACTGTAGTGTAAAGCGAGACAATTATTAACAACATTAAAGCTCTGATGTATGTGTGTGTGTTAAAATGACATTATTTATTTATATGAGCGTCGGTGTTCAGAGAACTTCTCATTCCGGTGTGAGAGCAGCAGCTGAACCCGGTAACACCACCAGCAACAGAAGCTGGTAGAGATCGGGACGTTTTAACAATCAGCTTTGGTGTAGTGAAACGCTGTTTATAACATAAAGTTATAAATCCAGAGGGGTGAATTTAGGCAAAGTCAGCAACATGTTTACATCGGTGAACAGCTGCAGAGAGAACGTAAGCTAACGTTGGTAAGCTAGTTAGCATACCGCTCTTTATGAGCCCCCGCTAGATGCGCTCGCTACTTCTTCTGATAACTGAACTGGGCATGAACTAGTTGAAGGAATGCTGGAGGAGTTTTGTTTTTGTTTTGATCGCAAAAACTATTTCAGGCTCTACTTTTCCCTTTGTTTAGTAATCGTATCGCTCACTGTTTACATGCTTTTACCGTCCAGCATGGTGGACCCACGTGATTAGGTGACGTCGGTGCAAAGGGTCAATATGCTGTGCACCCTTATTATACATATAATATTTACATGAATAATAAAATAAAACAATTTACTGGTCAAATTTGTATTTTAAGTCTATTTTTTCATAAATATTTTTACATAGTGTAAAACATGACTAATTCATAAAAGCCGATTAAAGAACCACAAATTCTCATAAATCACACTTTTATGCATTTTTTATTATAGTTTATTTTTTCTGATTAGATAATTGATTCTCTGCTACAATTTCAATTCCTTTTTTAAAATAGAAAAACACTACAGCTAATCCATGTTGATTCCTCTCATTGTTTTTCTCTTCACCGTTAGCTAGATTACAGCTGTCATCTCTGGTATCTCCTATTATCACTTCACAGGAACCCAGATAGACACGTTAGGTATTTTTAGAAACTCTCCAACCTTTTAAAGAATGTGAAATGCATTCCTTTAGGCTTAAGCAAAGTTTAGCAGTACTTCATTCATGTTTTATAGGTGAAAAGGAGATAAAGTTTTGTTTTTGAGAACAAGAATCATGTTGGATGTTTGTGACAGCAGTGCAGACTTAGGAGTCCTGATTTAGGCCAGTTGGGCGGAATGAAATGTTAGACAGTGTTTCTTTCTGCCTGTTGTGTCATCTCGTAGCAGCAGCTCAACCATGTGGTTTCCGCTGCCTTCCACCAACGGTACCGACAGAAAAGAGACGAGTTGGAGTAAAGAAGAGAGCAGAGTGACGACAGACAGTCGCTGTTTGTTAGTCTGTAGCCGTGTCTTTTTGACAAACAGTCAATGAAGAAGAAAAAGGAAAACAAGGAGACAGAAATAAGTTATTATTTAACCTTTTCTGTTGATGCAGAACGGGGAAAATAAAGCGCTAAAGTCAAGTTTCCGCCGTGGTTCTCCCCACAGAAAACACACTTCCTGTCTCCTGTTGATCACCTCAGCACATCTCACTTCACTTCCTGATGCTCTACCACCCCGTTGTTACCTAGCAACAAGAGGTAGCACATCCCCGTGGTTGACCACAGCGGTCAGAGCTACCCCTCACCTCTCCACGTGTCGTCTCCTCCTCGGACTGACATCAGACTTTCCAGAGCCTCATGAATGTACAAGACGGCCGACACCAATCTGACGAAACTTGGCGTGACTCGGGCTGGGTGCCAGAAACTTTGAAGAGGAGGGGGCACACCCAAGTTCTTGAGCCATTTGCGAAACCAGCTTAGTGCATTTCACCTTTTGACTCCTCCAGATGCTGGTGTTGAAAGAAACTTGATGGAGCCGCATTTACAACTCATCCAGGTTTTAAAAATAGTTTCTGTGGTTTTACAAGAAGCTTAGAAGATTTATAATAACAAGATTTCACAGGTCAACTCCACAGTGATGCTAAACGGAGGGCTGAACACAGATATGTGAGCTTCCTGTGTCAGACATAAAAAATGCCCAGATGAGCCGTAATTCAGACTTTGGTACAATGTTCACGAGCATTTTTTTCCTGCTGACTAACAGTTTTTGCCTGTGTCTGTTTGCAAAATATCTCATGAATCAGTGTTTTATCTTTTGCTGTCAATCCAGTTCAGGGTGGCCGAATTCAGGGGCTGCATCCTTTGAAGTCCGCATTTGAAGGCAGATTACGTCACAGTGATGCGACAAAGGCGGTTCATTCAAAGGCTACTCCAAACGCGGCCCACAAATCTTCCCTATCCCAAGATGGCTTTCAGGCCAAACAGATTTTTGTTCTGGTAGTGATGGTGATCTAAGCAGGAGAGGATTGGAGTGCAAAATTAAAAGCTTAAAGTTGTTGTGTTGTTAGGTATTTGTCGTTTGCATAGTTCTTTTTAAATATAGTTTGTGACCAAATATTTTAAATAATTGTATACCGGCTCAGTGGCCTCGTGGTATGAGTGTCCGCCAGAGGTGGACTGGGACAACAATAAGGCAATTTGGACCGTCCCACATTGGGTAAGTGGCCCACCTGGATGATGCCAGATATGCCAGACGGCCAGTCCACCCCTGGTGTCCACCCTGAGACTGGGAGATTGTGGTTTCAAATCCACAGTTGGATCATACCAAAGAATTAAAAATGGGACCCAAAGCCTCTCAGCTTGGCACTCAGCAATAAGGGGTTAGATTTGGTTGTTAAACCACCAAATAATTCCAGAGCGCAGCAAAATTTCAAGCTCTGTATGAGAATGAAAATGCACTTTTGGATCCTTTTTGGCCTCATTTCGTTTTAAAATGTATGAACTGAACATACGCCGCGATAAGAGCGGGAAAAAATCTGGACACTGGACTATCCACTCACGTCCAGTCTTCACGTTCCTCAATCAACTCGGCCTTCATGGACCGGTTGCGCCGGGTTCTAACAAGGATTCAGCCCAAGAATTTGGACACTACCTGTGCAAAACTTTTTTCTTAAAATGTTGCCACTGTCTTCCCATTTGGAGTCAACCCAGTTCAAGATGGTCACCACAAATCCAGCTAGCATTTGGTGTAGCGGAGTCATCTGCGTCACATAATCCTTCGTATAAGATATTGTGATATTGTGTAAGTACTCATATGTTTTTTTTCCCCAATTAGTTTATGTATTTGGCATGCACTTTGATCCAAAGCAACTTACGTGAGGCTTGTTGGAGGTGATGGGGCAACAGTGCAGAAAATAAGAGTGCAAGTATGAGGGAAGTGCACAAAAAAGGAGTGCAGTAGAGTTGGGGATGGGAGATGCTTTATGAAAAGCTGGGTCTTTGAGAGTTCCTTAAAGACAGGGACACGCAGCCTGGTAGTGCTTTCCACCATCATGGAACGAAACACGAAGAGTCTACAATAACTGAAAAATACTTTATTTTGAAACTCAATTTGATTCCATTGAGGAATTTGCAAATAATCAAGCTATGATTCATTTTACCTCATCTGACAATGAAAAATATTAGTGAACGTTGCTGTTAAAGGTCAAAGTTTATTTCTCCTGCATCCTTTACAGCAGTAGTGTCCAATCCTGGTCTCCAAGAGCTCCTATGCAGCAGATTCTAGATGTTTCTCTGCTGCCTTCAACACACCTGATTTTAATCAGTGGGTGATAAAAGGTTTCTGCTGAGCTTGATGAGCTTGATGAGCTGCCGAGCATGTAATCCAACCATCTGATGTGTTGGGAGCAGGGAAACCCTTAAAACATGCAGGACAGTGGTCCTTGAGGACCAGGGTAGGGCACCGCTGGTTCAGAGTAATAAAAGTAGACTTGGAGCTCTTACCTGAAACGTGGAGAGTCTTTCAAACACTCCTCAAAGTCCAGCTTCACAGTCATCCCTGCGTTTAGAGGTGAAGCACAAAAAACTTGTATTTACTCTTCAGCTGGGGCTGAAATGATGAAAACAGAGTCTCCTCGGGTTCAGCGCTCCATTTTGACAGCTGGACTCAATGCAGACAAAGTTTAAATTGCATTCCTCCACAACAAGTCGTCCGGAGCGTCTTATTTCCCTGTCCTTATCCGGTCTGTCGCGTACATCCGTGTCTGATAACGACTTGTCACCGCCGATGAATGAAGGCAGAGGATGTTTGTTGCGTTATTACATCTTATTCGGTAGAGAGAGAGCTGAGTTTGTACTTCCGTGCGGATGATGCTGCAGAAAACCCAGCCAGAATTCCTTCAACATTAAAAATAAATTTTTAAAAAACCAATAATCCGAAATGACTGAGATTAAATTAAAGTCGGGCTGTCGGATGTTGGATCTCCCAGGGCTGAAACGCTCACGCACGCACACTGAAGGTCCAACCCACCCGCATCACACTTCTCCCCATTTCCGGGTTTCTGCTCAACGCAAATTATGGTTTAGGAGCAGCACAAAATGAAAGGGTACAGTTCAAAACTCCGGGTTTTTCTTTACCAACTCCTCCTAGTTACATCATGGACTCCTACAGCTGATTAGTTAATAATAAGCGTATAAGGTGGCTATAATAACCACATGGCTGTTGGGTGTTTTGCTCAGGCTTTTGTTTGTGTTTTAAACTCAGCTTTCACTTAGATGGGAGCTTCTTGAACTGGAGCTGGGTGTGTATTCTTGTCTGGCAAGCTGCTTTTTTTTTTTTAGAGTAAAACCAGTTCCAAGTGCCCAAGGAATCACTGTATGGAAGCTCACTACTGCCAAGAATTTAAAAAAAAATACACTGAACATAACATATGGATGGTCGATCATTTAAAACAGTAAGACAAATTTACATATTGTCCACCTTTGGCAAAATTATATTAAAACTTAAAGTTGCTGTCTGGAATTTTCCCTTTCAGGAACTATGAAATCAGCTCCATAAAATGGTAAATGGCCTATATTTGATATAGTGCCTTCTAGAGTCCAGGAACCCCCCAAGGCGCTTTACAACGCAATCAGTCATTCACCCATTCACACACACATTCACACCCTGGTGGTGATGGGCTACATTGTAGCCACAGCTGCCCTGGGGTGCACTGACAGAGGCAAGTCCGCCTTATACAGGTGCCACCTGTATGGAGCTAGGATTGGGATTATTCAGCGTAACTTGTACCAAGTTTTGTAACTTTGAACATGTTTCATCACATGTAACTTTGGATTCGTAACTTGTAACTTTAGTTTTCTAACTTGTAATACTCAATTCGTACTTGTATTTCTTGTTTTGTAACAGGAACATTGTATTTTGTACATGTATTTTTTATTTTTTTAAATCAAACTTTTATTTTGTACATTTACTACTGTCAGAGTCCAAGCCCCCAGGCCGGGCTCTCCCAGCTGACCGGCTTCCGTCTTGGACCACATTACCCAGCATGCCCCTCGCGGGGATTCCCTCCACGTTTCACCTGCGTCAATCCATGTCTATATATGGAAGATGCTACACCGGCTCTTCACTCAGTCATCGTTCCACCGTGATCCATGATCAGAGTATTTCCAAAGCTACTACAGCTAAACCTCCACCTTTCCTCCTCAGACCTCATCTGTCAGCGTTTCCAGCACCGCTTTCAGCCCACCGTCTGTAAAATAAACGCTCTTACTCCCGAACCCAGTCTTCGACTACTCATTTTGTAACATCAAACATTCATTCTGAAACATGAAACTTTCGTTTTGTAACTAGCAGACTACCAAATTGAAAAAATCAAGGTACAAGTTTGAAATCAAAACTCTCAAAACACACATTTCATTCTACAGGTACAAACCTCAAATCTACAGTGTTACAGATCATTTTGTCTCGATTCTAGCGTCAGTGGGAGGAACTTGGGTGGAACCAATGAGAGCATGAGTCTTAGCTACCAATCACGTTTCTCGAATTCCTGTCCAATCATTGGGAGAGGAGGGCAGGGTTCTGTCAGAGCTGTAGAAAGAGAGTTATCCACCAGCAAAGAAATGTAAGCTAATTGACATGTTACTGCCCTCACAGCCCTCCAGTGAAATGGTTTGTTGTAACAACCCTGAAAATCAACCGATTACTGTGACTGATGTTCCAGCCAGTTCTCTGATTTGTTATGGTCATCACGTGTTCCATGACCATCTTCCAAACTTGCCCAAGAACACAACGACAGTGACAGATTGAGCAAGACATGAACCTTCAACCCCCTGATTACAGGGCAAGCACTTAACTCCTGTGCCACTGTCACATAAAAGTGATTGTCTTATCATGTCGTGTGGTACAATGTGGGAAATACATATTTTTTTATTTTGCTGAGCCTGTCATCTGTCCCATAGAGTTCAATATGAAGTGAGCGCCGGTCAGCACTAACCAATAGCGTTAGAATACCGCTTACATACAGACGTTAATCATGGAGCATGCTCAAGCGTTTAAGGACCAAGGACCTACCTCAGTTGATGCAGAATTGGCGACTGTTCTCACAGACAAGTAAGTCTATAAAATATAAATATATGAAAACACAGCATAACGTGAGCATAATAATTGTAAATCAATGTGTTTTAGCTGTGTTTTGTCGGCTAGAGGAGCACATTCATGAACGAGAGGCATTGCTTTCAGACGTAAATACGAAAATGAAACAACGTCTTGGTGTGATACACCTGTCAGCCACTAGATGGTGCCATCAGATGAAGAAATAATCCGGACATCTCTTTTAAGAAGGGTGTGGCCCCTAAATTCCACAAAATTGGAGGGAATTTTTGCTCACGACTTTTAGGCCAGTTTCCACTGTCGAAACTTTGTGTCTCCATTTCACCGAGCTGGCCTGAATGGATCACTTTCCTGGCAATTTCACGGACCAACCAAGCTCCTTAACTAGAGTAGGGCCTGGTAGAATCTCTAGCTAGGTAAAACAGCTATTTCTGGAACGCTTTTTATGTTGCACAGCTAATTTCCTGGTCTGTCGAGAATAAATTACAGTGTACTTTGATAAAATAATTTAATGTTATTAATGTTCCCCCCTCATAAATGTCCCTGAACTCCTTGTGGAAATGCACAGTTCAGTTTTTTTAAACAAAAATCTACAAAAGGCCTAAAGCAGGCATGTCAAGAGTGCTCAGCCCAGCAGGCAGGAGCATGACTCTTACTGTTCAAGAAAAAAGCCCAATAATCACATTTACACACCATTATCTTTTTTTTACTTGGGTATAAACACTTTGGATTAGGGGCTGAAAGTCCTCACTGTTCGCCTGTCTCAAATAATGTTTCTGGTGAGATAAAATGCTTGAGAAAAATCAGTATCGGAACACGCAGTAGCAGGATATAAACTGTAAATCCAAAAGAGTCCATCTGTCTATCCATGAGTGTGTCTCCCCCTGGTGTTCAGAGACAAGCATTACAAACATACACATTTATGTCATCTGAAAACTATTTAGACCGTTTTTGTTTATTTCCCCCATCACGTTGTTTTGTGTTGCAAATAATCTCCCAGCAGTTTTCTGTGGCAGGATTACAACCTAATGACGCATTCACGGACCGCCTCAACTAAAACTGTAACATTTTTCTTTTGGTCTCCAGACGCAGTCACTCTACTGTTGCTATGTTGTTACAGCAAAATAAACGATCCTCCTGATTGATCTCTGGAGAAAAAAAAGAGGATTGTTACGACATGTGTGAAGTTCTGCCAAACTTGTAAACATGTGTTCAAAACTAAACAATTTAATATAATTACATCCCAGACATAATGGATTATCGTTGATTAAAGTGTAATTACGCATTCTTCACTAACACCTTCATTTCCTCAGATGTCACATCTCTGAACGAGCTTGTGGAGTGTTTTCAAGCGCGCGGGATTAAGAGTATCGACTAAAAAAAGGGGGTGTGCACGCACAAAACACGCTCGGTCCCCTGGAGCGAAACCGTTTGTTCTACAAGGAGGATCAAAAGGTGGTTTTGTGAAGCAAACTTGGCTACTTGACAGGTTCTTGTTTGTCTTTGACAGGAGATTCCCCCGAGCGCCCGTCCAAACTCGTGCTGAATATTTTTATCAACATCCGGTGATATTTTCAAAGTAAAGGGTTGACCAGTGTAACCACTGAAGTAAAAAAAAAACACCTGGTGGTCTTATGTACCTACCTGATTATATAGCAATTACGCACACACACACACACACACACACACACACACACACACACACACACACACACACACACACACACACACACACACACACACACACACACACACACACACACACACACACACACACACCTCTTTGTCAACCAGGAGGTATAATGCTTGGTATTAGATGTGAATACCATAAAATTACATGTGAAGTTTTGGGTATAACATGAAGGCTGTTGTATTACATGTGAAAACAATTTAAACCTATTGTAAACTTTCTGGACTACATGTTGCTTTGAATGTAAAACTCCTTGGAGAACATAGATTTATGGGGATTTCAAGAGAAACTTGTGGATTTTTTCACATAAACCCAGGATACACAAAAAATCCAAAGCATTATTATCAAAGGGGTAACACTGCTATTCTTGTAAACATACAAAGTATTTCTGGAGAAATCTGCATCCTGGCCACTACTGCTTTCAGATTAGGCAAAATTTTGAACATTTATTAAATTTACCCACAGTTGCAGTCTCCTAGCAACAGTGTGTTATTCATGCTCGATTTGGTCCGTTTTGGCTCCAAAAACTAGGGTGCACTCATCGCTTGGCAGATGATCATGTTGCTTTGGGTGATTTGCATATTAACTGTTTAGTGAAAGGACATTTGAATATGCAGTTTCTTAGTGTTTAAAGTCAACAAAAAGTTTGTGTCGTCTCCGACCTGCTTTCCCATGCTAATTAGTAAGGTTGTAATGGCCACTGAGATAAGCCTGTATAAAGCCAGGCGTACACTGTGCGACTTTTTCACTCGCAGCGTTCAGCTTCAGCTCAGACTGTACGACTTCCTCGCAGAGCAGATCTCACGAGTTGTGTGCTCACACTGCACGACCCAGTTCTCGCATGCGACCTGACTGCTCACACTGTACGTCTGGTAGCAACACGTCGGCCCTAAAAATGTGCTAAAAATAGCAGTTTTTACTCAACACGTCAGACTTTTTTGTCTTGTCTTGCCTGTTGTCCTTCGGGAGTGCTGCAGGAGGACACACAGGGATTTATGGGGGTTGGATGAGGAAAACGAAATAAAGAGAGTAAATCTGTGTTTTGTGATCAGTTTAATTTGACATGAACACGACAAACATGCTTTCTTGACAATCTTTGTGAGTAAAAAAAAACGTGTAGAAACAAAAACGAACAGCGTGTGTTATTAGGGAAATAGCGAGCGACCGGCGTTGATGCAGGATTGCGCATGCGCCGTGAGCGGTTCTGATACATTTTGGATCGTAGCTGCTCGCAGCGCTGCTTCAACAGTGCGATACCCTTACGAGGGACAAGCGAAATATTAAACACACCAGAAGTCCGTGCGACCTCACGACTGCTGATCGGCAGCTGGTCACGTGGTGTTAATTGCCTCTCGTAACCCCCTGTACACTACACGACCGCTCGGCGCAAAACTCGCCCCAATGTTGTGGATTCTCGCACGACTGGAAAATCGGCTCAAAAAAGTGAAAAAGTCGCACAGTGTACGCCCGGCTTAACACGATGCAGGCATAGACACATGCCCATGAAGTTTGCATGTTCCACTCCCAAACAAAGGGCAATCTTATTGGGGAGGAGATTTTGTGTGAGGTTGGGAGACTGTCCCTCCAACACGGCTGAGCTGCCTTGGGGAGTCCCCCAAGGCTCAATTTTAGCCCCACTATTTTTCTCTCTACATCTTCTACCCCCACGTGACCTATTACGCAAGCATGACGTGACGTTCCATCTATATGCTGATGATTGTCAGGTTATTCTTCCAATTCAGTGTGGTGGTTTAAGCGCCATCAAACCTTTGTTGGACTGCCAGGAAGACATCAAATTATAGATGGCTCAGAAGTACCTGTGTACTGTTTACGCTACCAAAGACTCTAGGAGCTGCCCAAGGGCTTGATTTTTCCACACTGGCCCCATATCAGAAGGCAGTGGTCAATAACCTGGGGGTAAAATTGGATGCAAATCTCAGACTAGATTCTCAGGTGAACAGAATTGTGAGATCTTGCTATTTTCATCTCAGTTGGATAGTGAAGATTAAGCCATTTGTGTCACATAGCCATTTGGTGTCTGTGATCCATGCCTTTATTACCTGCAGGTTGGATTACAGTAACCTTGCTTTATGCTGGATTTAGGAAAGCTTACATAGCATGGCTCAAGGCAGTCCAGAACTCTGCAGTTTGGTTGTTGACAGGCACTAGGAGGTATGTAGCCTGGCAAGCTAGACTAAATAAATGTATTATTTAGTCTGGCAACGCTCCATTGACGGCTCTCGGTTGTGGGGCGGGTTCTACCGTTGTCTTTCAAATGATCTCCGCATTCCACTGGACAATGAATGTGACATACTCTTGTTCCACTCTGTTGCATCATCCCACCCACCAGGCATATATGGGCCATTCCCATCTGTACCGGGTCGACCCGGGCCGGGTAGCCCCAGTCGGCCCCAGCCTGGCCCGGTTGATTCCACACATCCTTGTCTTAAGCCCATGTGGGCTGATTCTACCCACCAATCAGAGGCTTGCTCTAATGGAAGGTGTGAATTTGCTGTCAGCAGTGGGTGTGTTGGCCCTGGTCGGCCTGAAGCAGACCCCCTCGAGAAGAGGGCTGAGAATGAGCCTTGGTTGGCCCGGAAAAATACCAGGCCACCCAGATATGTAAACAACGTACGCTGCCCGGCCCGGGCCGACCCGGTACAGATGGGAATGGCCCAATAGAGTGCCCTGATTGGCCCACAAAGCGGATAAAGCTCTGTGATTTGTTCACTAAGCAGATAGAGCACTATGATTGGCCCACCATTATGAACCAATCACAGCTCTTCATGTGTTTGAAACCCCTCTAGAGAGCTGTGATTGGCTAGCCAGAGTCCTGGTAGGAGCTGCGGAGGTTCCAATGGAGCGTGCCTAGACCAAACTTTGCAAAGCAAGAATTTGGTCTAGTTCACTAGGCTAGGAGGTATGAGCATATCACACCAGTCCTAGATGCCTTGCACTGGCTTCCTGTTTCTTATGGCATTATTTTCAAGGTAATCTTATTTGTGTTTAGGGTGATAAATTGGGGGGGGGGGGGGGGGGGCACCCTTAATAAATGTCTGATGTCATTCACCAGTATGTCATGGTGTGTTCAGCTGACCAGGGACTATTAATGGCGCCCGGGTACATGTTGAAATCTCGTGGGAGCCATGCTTTTTCAGTGCTGGGACCAAGGCTCTAGAGTGAGCTGTCGGCCGACGTGAAGCAGGCCCAGTCGCTTAGTAGCTTTAGGAGGCGACTAAAACTCATCTGTTCTTACTGGCGTTTAGACATGGAGGCTGGGTGGCTTTGCACTGATTATTTATTTTATCTGATGGCGGTAAACAGACTGGTCTAGATTGTTGTAACTGTACTTGGGAATTTTTATGGTTTTTCAATGGTTTTATGTATGTCTGTTTTTATTCCTTTATTTTTATTGGTGTACAGTGCTTTGTTTGTCCTTTTGGGCATGTGAAAGTGCTTTATAAATAAAGTTGAATTTAGTCACTTTGTGGCTTATGGGTTTCAGAATAAAAGCACCCGCCAGCCATCTATAAGCTGTGGTTAGCTCACTTAACTCGTACCTACATCGTCTCATCATTTGCTGGGTGTCCATCATCTGCCCCCACCCTCACAGCTCCATTTTTGCATTTTCCAGGAGTGAAGAGATATGTGGCGCGGCCAAAATGGTGTTGATGGAAGACACCTACTGAGTTTTAAACAAGCTTTTCAAAAACCTACAGGTTTTATTTCAACCTCTGCAATGTCAAAATGTTGGTCACAGTGATGTTAATCACAGAATAATGCTATCACAAGCTACTGGTAACGCTAACCTGATCTACTGCTAATGTTCTTATTGAAGAGAGGAAAACAAAAAAAGAAGACTGTTGGAGCACTCAAGTTCCATGATGACTTGAGGATATCAAGACTTTTGGTGAATGCCAGAGCATGCGGTGTGGTCCAAGCATGGAATACAGCCAAAAACTTCCTCGTCCATGTTGCGGCATGGAAACTCATTAGAGCCCCTTAAACATTAATAATACCACCTAAAATGCTATACAGTTCAATTCACACACTGGTGTTGATTAGCTACATTATAACGACAGCTGTCCTGGGGCGTACTGACGTGAGGCTGCCATATAATCGGCATCACCTGTCCCTCCGATCACCACTATCAAGCAAGGCAGGTGAAATGTCTTGCCCTTGCCCTGATATCTCGGTGGTCAATGACTTGATGACTGATGTAGCCGGAGCCTGAGGTTGAACTGGCAACCCACAAATTACATGGTGACCTCCTAACCCCTAAGCCACTATTGCAGTGATGATAAAACACTTATTTGTATTAAAACGCACTTATTAAAGAAAACAATCCCATCAGCACAAATGTTTGAGCTTGTGGAAAGCATAGCTATTATGTTTTATTTTGAAGGCCGCGTGTAGTACATCCGGCGTTGTGCTTACCGCCTTGACGCCCCACCCCTCAGTGCAGGCTCGCGCTGGTGTGAAGCCGCATCAAAAGCGTTTCCATAATAATGCGCGCGTGAGGCGCTCCGTGTAGTAAACGGAGAGGCATTCTGGGAGGAGGAGGCGGATACTCTTGAGTCTGGCGGGCACCGGCCCAGAATAAAATGTCGAACCGCAAGCACCGGGACAACCAAGAAATCTGCGCCCGCAAGGTCCGGGAGCTGGCCCAGTCTGGGGTAAACAAACACTGCTTCGAGTGCAGCCAGCCCGGGGTGACATACACCGACATCACGGTGGGCAGCTTCGTCTGCACGTCGTGCTCCGGAATGCTGTGAGTAAAAACAACAACGACCTGCAGCCCGAGGACTATCAGTCAAAGTACCAGGCCTGAGGCTGCAGCATCCACCGCCCAGACCAAAAATGTGCGGAGTATCATTTTATTCCCCCCTCACGTTTACCGGGGTGTTGGGTTGGGTGGTGCAGCAGCCCAGGATATGTGCGCACATTAATTTACGCAGTCTGTCTCTTCCCCTCTGCGTGTCTTCCAACAGCTTCATAAAACGACTGACCGCTTGTTTTCCAGCTCTGGTTTATTCCGCCATGGTGGTGCAGGTTTGACTCCCTCTCTACAGGATCTTCTCCACCATGTGTGTGTGCGTGTTTGGTCACAGTCTGTTGCATGTTTAGTCCCAGCACTCCTCAGGAAGACGGGTTCAGCACCGTTTCTAGTGACTAGCGATTGCGCAATCTTGCATAGCGGTGTCCCACTTTGTGCCTCCCCCTCCCCTCCCCAGCATGGAGAACGCAAGGAGACTCTGGTTCCTCCTCCTCGGAGCCTTTCCATGACAGATTTACCTGTCAAATCCACAATCGCCAGATGTGTCCTCTCTCACCCGCTCTTGTCCTCCTCACCGTCCTCTGGGCTTGTGGACTTTGCCTACTTGATTAAGACTTTTCTGTCCTCTTGTACCACAGGAGAGGCCTCAACCCTCCCCACAGAGTCAAATCCATCTCCATGACCACTTTCTCCCAACAGGAAGTGGAATTCCTCCAAAACCATGGCAACGAGGTGAGTGATTGCAGATGATGCACCTGTTTGCATGTCCACAGCGTTTATGCTTGTATATCTCGGGATGTGAATCTTACCACAACTCCTGATTCATAATGACTCAGATTCTCAGGCTGAAGATCCGATTCAGAATCGATCCTTGATTCAAATTGATTCATAATCAATACTCTTAAGTAACAAAGAGCGTACATTCCAGGATTAACTACTGTCTTCTCTGTAAATTAGGAATCTGCCAGGTGTTTGTGATGTAGTGAGCTGTGAATGCGATGGAGTGGGTTGCTCTGGAAGTCCACGCATCATTAAAATAATGTTTTCCTCATGTTATTGAGGATAAACTGTAAGGTAAAAACTGCAGCTGGGCATGAGTGTATGTATGTATATGATAAAAAGAACTGTGAACTAGTTCGTTTTTGAAACTGTGAAGTTAGTTCTAAATGTTTTAAATTTTGAACTAAGAAACAAACTAGTTTGTTTAAAAATGTATGAACTGAACTTTGAACTAGTTAGTTTTTTAAACGAACTTTCCCAACACTGTCCAAATGACAGATTTGCCATTGCCAGCAATTCAGTTCAATTCAATTTTATTTATAAAGCGCCAAATAACGACAAGAGTCGTCTCAAGGCACTTCACATAATAAACATTCCAGTACAGGTCAGTTCATTAAGCCAATCAGTAAAAAGTTTCCTATATAAGGAACCCAGCAAATTGCATCAAGTCAGTGACTAGTGTCAGTGTCTTTACATCAGTCCTCATACTAAGCAAGCATTTAGCGACAGTGGAGAGGAAAACTCCCTTTTAACCGGAAGAATCCTCCAGAGAATCCCGGCTCAGGATAAGCAGCCATCCACCACGACTCACTGGGAATGGAGGAGACCGAGCACACACACACACACACACACACACACACACACACACACACACACACACACACACACACACACACACACACACACACACACACACACACACACACACACACACACACACACACACACACACACACACACACACACACACACACACACACACACACACACACACACACACACACACCAAGCAATGTGTCTATAGTTATATTGTGATTTCTTAGTAAATATTCTATTTGGTGAGAGATAAACTTTATTGTATTTATCCTAGTGAATCTATAATTTAACGGGTAAACTAGCAGTAGCACATCCAATGTCAAGGAAAGCAAAAAGTTATTATCAGGAGAGGGAGAATGTTTAAGTGGTTAGCAGCAGTGTGCTAGACGATGGCCCCCTCCATGAGGCCACCACAGCTCAGCAGAACATCACCATAGCTTCTTCTGGGGAGAAAAACACTTAGAGAGAAAATAAAGTCAATAGCTGAAATTGCAGGAAATAATACAGTTAAAGAGCAGGTTGTAGAAGAAAGTAGTAGAGTGTGGAAAGTGGTCAGTGTGTCCTCCAGCAGTCTAAGCCTATAGCAGCATAACTACAGAGATAACTCTAGATAACCTAGCCTTTTAGATGGAGGCATGTTGGAGGCAGGGCAAGGGAGAGCCATCTTTACCTACTGTACACTCCACCTCCCTCTACTCCCCCACTTGTCCAGATCTAGACTAACATCAAATTTTAACCATAGGCCCTATCAAATAAAAATGTTTTAAGCCTAGTCTTAAAAATAGACAAGGTGTCGGCCTCACGGACTAAGGCTGGGAGCTGGTTCCACAGGAGAGGAGCCTGATACCTAAAAGATCTGCCTCCCATCCTAATTTTAGACATTCTGGGATCCACCAGTAAACCTGCAGTCTGAGAGCGAAGTGCTCAGTTAGGATGTATGATGGACCTTGATTATTAAGAGCTTCATATGTGAGAAGGAGGATCTTAAAATCTATTCTGAATTTAACAGGTAGCCAATGTAGGGAAGCTAAGACAGGAGAGATATGATCTCTCTTTTTAATTCTCATCAGAACTCTAGCTGCAGCATTTTGGACAAGCTGAAGACTTTTAACTACATTCGGTGGACTTCCTGAGAGTAATGGATTACAGTAATCCAGTCTTGATGTAATAAATGCATGAATTAGCATTTAGCAATTGTATTTACTAATAGCTACAATTATTTTGATCATCTAACTCTTAGTTTTCCTAATTCAGATTGCAATGCTCTAAAACAACTTTTGTTTGTAGTTTTGTATCGTCCCCCTGGCCCTTAAAGAGACGATGTGTAGTTTTTACCATTAATCTCTGGAAATATCCATCCAAATGTTGTTGTCAATTAATTAAAAGATGCCCAGTTGATGAAAAATATTGGCGGTTTCAAAACACATAACCATAAAAATCTGTTCTAAAATACATGGGAAGCCGGTTCAAGTCTCTGGGAGAGGATGGGGGTGACGACAATTAGAGGCTGACCGATATATCGGGCCGATATATTCAATTTTTTCTTTAACAGCTGTCAGCCAAAATTATTTTTAAAAGCCGATTTAAAAATAAAATAATAATAATAATAATCAGGCACCTGTGTGGGCACCTGCTGCAACTGCTACACTGAAGAAAAGACCCGAAGGACCCCAACACACCATTTTTTAAAAATGTTTTGAGTTTGTTTTATATTTGAAGTTAAATAAATATTGAGATTTATTCACTTATTTAATTTATATTGCACACAGTGAGTGTTCAGTTATCTTTCACATTCAATGTGCTGCTAAAACTTTTATATATCAGCCTTAATAACTGGTTTTAGAAATCGGCCATCTGCAATAAAATTCTTTAAAAATCGGTATCAGCATCGACCTTAAAAAACAATTTTGGTCGGCCTCTGGTGACGATGTGTAATTGTATAGTCCTGTGAAAGCAGTGGCGGTTCTACATCGAATTACTCCCCGGGCGAGGCCCCCTTTGAGCGCCCCCCCCCAACCCCCCCCCCCTCCACCACCACCACCACCACCACCACCACCACACCACCCCACCTGCATGAACACACGCATGTTTTCTACAAACAGGCATGTTTTATTAGAACGACTATTGAACATTCATTTTTCTAAGTTGCACATATTTACATTAATTACTATGAAGTTGTCAGAATGTAAAGCACTATACATTATATACTGTATCAAAATATATAGAATCAAATATACAAAAACAAACAATAACTAAATATTAAGAATATATGAACATAATAGATAATAAATATTCTAAATAGCAAAAATATTTCACACATAACAAACTAAAGATAATCACTACAGCATTGCACTTAGAACAGAAAACACAAACTAAAATTAAAACCTAACCTTGATGCAACATCATCAATAATGTCATCACATGAAATCTGCTCCCCCTACTGAGTGATTGATACTAATCAGAGCCAGGTTAGTGAGCCGCCCCTGAAACATAGGTGACCTCAGGTATGACTTGATCAAGTTTTGAAAAGCTCCTCTCAGCTTGAGCCACAGTGACTGGCAGAGCAGTCCAAAAGTTGGGGTAGATCTCCAATAGATCTCATGATCCATAATATTTTAGAATTGCCTCTGAAATTGTAATTTAAACTGACATAAAAAACTGTAGACTACCAAAAATGCCAACTTTTACAGAACAAATCATGTAAAAAATAATCAGTGCAGCCATCTGCAATAAATAAACAGGATAGTTAGTGGTGACTGGGGTGTTTTCTTCTGCTTGTAGAGTGGTTTCATTTATTATTATGTGAACATGATCAACATGTTTGTTGTTGTTCAGGCAGGCCACAGGCTGCAGTGAGCATTTAACAAATCCTAGTTTGAATCAGTAAAAAACGATTCAAGGACTTTTTTCAAACCATTTTAATATTCGTTTAAATATTTCAGCCCTATTAGCTCTGTTAGCAATTAGTTTAACCGTTAAAATCCCAGTTAACTGGTTCAAAAAATTGAAAACATGCATCATGAGAGCTACATACCTTTATCTCTCTGCTCTTTTTTCTTTTTTTCCCCCTGAATCGGGCACCTGGTGGTTTTAGCCTTTTTATGTTCATCTCTTCTGTTTGGCTCCTGACTCAGTAAGTTTCGTTTAGTCAGGACTAAACAATTTGACCTTGATGGGGGGGTGACCACAAAATCGTTTTGTTTTTCCTTTTTTTATTCGGCCATTTCACACAATTCAGAGAAACCTGAAAGAATGATAGGCCTGTGTTTATGATATTATGAATGAAATATGGAAGAACGTTAAGATGTGATTGACTTTAGCCATGTTAATACAGTTGATTCAGCCCCTGCAAGCTCATTTCATCTGGGAAAGACGCAGAGGTGAATTCCCCCGCCGCACCCCTCCCCTTCCTGTTCTTCATAGACACACGGTGCACGTGAACGTTCTCAGTCAGCAGGAGCGCCTGCAACTGCAGGGGGCGCCAACTTGCTGTTTCCAATCCAGACACTGTCATATGACAGATAATAGAAAACCTCGGTGCGGCGCAGATTTCCTTTTTTTTTTTACTCCGCGCTTGTGCGCCCCTTTTGTGTCATGAAAAAATGCCGCCCCGGGCAACTGCCCTGTCTGCCCGTGCCTAAAACCGCTACTGTGTGAAAGTGATAGAAATCATCTCAGAAGCGTAAATGTGGTGTGTGTGTGTGTGTGTAACATATTGCAAATTTCACTTTATAGAAATAAAGCAAAACATTCAAAAATTTAGCTTCCATAAATTCAGTTTAAACAAAATTTGCTGATTTCAGAAGCGCAAATCGGTGTCGGCAAATATCGGTTATCGGCCAAAACAGTGATATTGTTATTGGATGTCGGCATCGGCCCAAAAAATACAGTATGGTATCGGTGCATCCCTAGTAAAAACGTGTGACTGCTAGTGTGAAATAATGCTAGATGGTGATGAGTTCACAGAGTGGGCAAAAGGTCTGAAATGATACTTTTTTGTGCTTAGCACTGTTGTGCTTATGTACCCTAACAGAAAATCTTTGAGTTTTCAGGTTGGGCAACCACTGGTTAAACCAGAATTGTTGAATATCGTCTAAATGTGGAGATTTTTTTCAAAAACACTTTTTTTTTTTACT